CATAAGAACGTCTTTGGCACTGGCAGTTTCGGGTTCTGTAATGTCAGCGGATTTATCTAAAATATTTGATCTGAATAATTCGAAATAAACATAAATAGATTTTGACGGTGAGAATAAATAATTCTAAAACACCCAAAACGCAATGGAAGCTAATCGATGACCTCAAGACCTCGTTCATACGTGGCGACTGCGGAGACTCGGCGATTTGAGGAACTGCGCGACGAGAAAAATATGGGTATTGATCTGGCGAACGGAGATTGAGCGACACGGCGATTTGGGGGACTCGGCGTTTAGAGCGATTGTGCGCCAACAGAGTGGATGGTATTGACCGCGCTGGTCGCTAGAATTGCAGAGGACGTTCATGACCGTTCAATGGAGACTGAGCGATTCGGTGCATTCGGTGATATTCGACAATTCGGCGCCGAACGATACCCATCCACTTGTTTGACGCGCAATCGCCGGGACTGCCGAGCCTCCTAGATCGGTATCGATTAGTCGCCAGATCGATACCTATATTTTCGCAATCTTCAGATCGCCGAATCTTCCGAGTCGCGAAGCATGAACGCGACCTTTACGGCAATTCAGATTGAATTGATTTGGTCTTGGACTACATGATCAACACGGTATGACGATATATTGTTTCGTACTGAAGGGCAAATTTAACAACACAATACCTCCACCTCCACTGAGCGACGACACTTCGAGATTCTCTTTCGTGTCTTCCATCGATGCACTTAGCTCCATATTGCGCTGTCGGACGCGTTCTTTGATGCGCTTAAACAAGAAATATAATTTTATATCTAATAATCTTCAAAACTGTTCAAAAAATAGTCGCGCCTTTTACCCCAATACTGAATCAGTGCTATAGACCGGAAATGTTGAAGACGCGATTCGAGCAGTATTTTGGGCCCCTAGACACGATGTCACGCTACATTGGCGTGAAAACGCCGGAGTCTCCGTAGCGAACTCGGCGCCAAAACTTTTGTGACGCAGATGCGGGGTGGATGCTACACTTTGAACAGAATTAATATTCGGGTTGAGAGGGTCAAAGTACCCTCTGGCCAAGGTAATATCCCTCCAGAGGAAAACTTCGACTAAAATGTGGTCTAAATCCGAAGAGAGAGGCAGTAAAGGGAAACCAGGGCCGAAAAGGTGACCCCATCCTGCAACAAAAATGGTAGATAAACCTGTTCTCAATGTGAGAATATGGTTCCGATGAAACAGTTGCTCTAGCTTCTAGGGGAAGCGATCTAGAAACATTAAAGGAGAAAGGATGACATCATCGCATTATGTCTTCTCTCATTCTTGCAAGGATCTGGTAAATGAGTTGGACGAAAACTCTTAAATTCCAGGAACCATTATTTTGAAAGTGATATATTTTAGGTCCCGAAGATGACGATTCAGTCGAATATCAGGTAACCTCGATGGAAGTTCCACCTGATAACCTCGAAAGGCACATAAAATATAATAAGAACTACAACTTACCACTTCGAGATTGTAAAAAAAACAGAAGCTTGAGAAAAATTATAATTTCCTTCTTTACATCTATTAATGACACTGTTTAAGCCTCGCCACACTTTTTCTAGCGCCAAATTTCTATCTTTTTCGCAATGCTTTTCGCAACACTGACTGTGACGCATTCTTTGAGAAGCTTCACCATAAATGATGGTCACTTTTCTTCCAGAAGGAAAACAGCCTACGCGAGCAGCATTTTGTCCTTTGCTATGAGACAAATAAGCAAAGGACAAAACGTGGCTAGAGCGATTTTGCGGAAATATTCGCTTGTGTGTAGAAAGAATGAACAAGGAGGAATCAAATGTTCAACAAGATCTTATAAATAAAAAGTTCATTTGAAAAGATTGGGCTTGCTAAGTGAAGCGTTGCGAAGAAAAACCACTTAAGTTTTGATAAATGAAATCCACTCTAACAACTCCGCTTCAGTAAACGCTGTAGTTCAGAATAAGGGAACTGACCTCTTTACTTTCATCCAACGAATACATTTCTTTTGATTTCGACATCTTGTTTGTGTTACACTAATTGAAGTTGCGTGGTTTAGAAATCGGAGTAATCACGTGAATTGAGGCGTCTGAATGAAGCACAATATGGTTGTGCGAATACGAGACAAATAAGGAATTTTATGAACCAAGAAGACCTTTTGTAAGGGACTAATAAAGCTTTATGAATGAAAACCTAAAAGGAAAAAATGCAGAGAACACCCTTGAAAATGTGGGAAACACAGGAAACTACCATAAATATTGGTTTAGCGATGATAACTTGATCAACAAGTACAGATGATTCGACAGTTGTTTCTCAAGGGGGGCAAATTCAAAATTTGAATTTCGGTTGATTCGCGCCTGACGCCACTTGCGGCGCGGAGTCGAGGAATTCGAATGTGCTGCGTCGCGTCGCTGTCGAAGAAGCGATGGATTTCAGTCCGCAAAAATTCTGTATGAAGTGGTTAATGTCAGGTTACAACACGTACAACACGTTAATACACCGCTTATCTGGTATATATGTGAAGCTTCTACCCCTCCGACGCAGAGCATACTAGCTAGGGGGG